AAGATTTTGATAATTAATGTGAAACTGAGCAATTGTGATATTCTTTTTTCTGTGATTTAACACAACCAGTGTTATCAGTGTGAGTGGTACCATTGTTTGTGATTTTGTATGTATTTTTATTTATTTTTATTCTTTTTTACTTTAATACAAAAAGCTGGCATGTTCCCAAGTTCAACCTCTTGCCTCTGAGCTTCATTTAATCATTTCACTGTGCTCCAGCAGTCCAACCTACTGCTCCATTATCTAAAATAGTATTATTGTTCAAAGGGATGTTACAAATGCTCTTGGCATGAGTTTACATACTGCTATTATTGGTCCAAAGCAATGTATTACTCCCATTCCCATACCGGCTACAAGCAGCATCACTCGCTCCCTCCTGTAATAAACTATGAATGTATTTTCCTATGAGACTCTATCACACACTGCCAAGACCGGAGGTGTCAAAGTCTGATGTAAACAAACTGCCACACCCTCCAACAAGCTGCACTTTACAACCTCAGTCTGAGACGAACTGTGTTTACGTGTTCAAACAGCCCTCCAATAATAGTGTTTAATACCACCTTTTATTCTCATGAACACTTGGCACCATAACACCGCTCTCTCACTCACACACCCATAACACCGGGCTGCAAGCCAGCCGTTGTAAGGCACTACTTCAATCGCACCACTGCGTTATACACCGACAGTAGAACTATTAAAAGGTCCTTTAGTGGCAGTTTAAACCAGATTACTGCCCAGAGATCAGCAGAAACAACTGTGGTCAGGTTGAATGGAAGACGAAGGCTTTGTAAACATGTAAACATGTAAACAACAGCATTATTATACGCTGGACACTTAAATTAAGTTGTATCCATATTTGTTACTGTCGTTTGGGTTTTGTGTGAGTTTTGCAGCCACCGTAGTTTCTGTGGGGAGGGGGTGGGGGGGTGTGACGAGGGGGTTGCAATCTGAAGCTACACCGCATGACAGTAAGTTGATTATGTGTTTATCATTTTATGTAGTTATTTCATTATTAGCCTCTCAATACCTCTAGCCTCTCCTTATGTGATGGAGCTACGTATCATCCGGTAAAAAGTGAATATATATATAAATATTTTGACCTTTGACAGTAAGGTCATCTAACGTTTTCCTGGCCTCACCTAATGTTACCATCATGTTCTCATCCACTAACATGACATCTGGTTTGTCATCTACCGTTTGCCTGAATCTCAATGCAGCATAAATCCTGAAGATCCTTTAAGTCCGGCTCTTCAGATATTAACGTCAATACACTTGTTATTTATTGGGCCCTTTATTCTCAGTATTTAAAACAGGCATGTGCATTGAGTTGTGTTCACATATTGTACTGTGTGTAGCAGTCTACATACTGAACTGTGTGTTTCTGTTCAGTGATGTTAATGAAATGTTTGTGTTTCACTTATTTTTATGACATTGTTCAGTTTCTGCACTAACAACACTGATGTGAAACACTGAAAACCTTATTTTGAAAGGTCTTTCCATTTGACAGAGACTTCCCAGTCAGCAATGGTGATAAATGCAAACATATTGTGAATAACAACAGCATTGTATTGTGTTAATATCATGTCGTCAGGGTTCTGTAAACACTCCGACCCGTTATTGTAAACAACGTAGTGATCATGTTTCACGCCTGTGTGGTCGTGGTCGAACACACCCATTGTGTCTCGCGTGTGTGTGTGTGTGTGTGTGTGTGTGTGTACGACAGGCCGCAGCACAGTTCACACCAGTGACCTCAACCAGCAGGCGGCCACAAAGCGCAGGTGTGTCTGAGTTTAACCTGAGGTGATCAAAAAAAAACTTCAAACAAGTGGGAGTGCTTCATCAGCTGACGATATAAATATCACAGTCACCATGGTTACACATACATCTTTCCAACATGAATGCGTTTTAGATTTCCAGTCAACCAAATGTTTGTTTGTTGTGTTCCTATTTTTCCTTTTATGTCCTAAGATGGTAACAAATAAATTCCCTCTTCATGGTCAGTCATTAAATGTCTCATTACGTAATCAGTACAACACAATGAGACTATAAACAGAGAGAGAATCAGTGCAGTGCTACTCTATCCAGTCATTTATATTATGTAAATTAATCTCTTTGCCTTTCTGTGTCATGGTTGTATTCCTGCTAGAGTCCGAGAGCGTCTGAACCCCTATACTCAATATGCAACATGCAGTATGATTATAAAACTGAAATAATAATGGTCTTACAACTAAAATTTGACCCCGCTAAAGACAGATAGATAGATAATTTATTTATCCCGAGGGAAATTAAAGACAGTCGACAATGACACAGTTCAATCCAATTAATGCATTAGTTGATTTACAGAAAAAAAATAAGAAAAATGTAAGAGTGGCTCCTCATTTATAAAGAAAAATTCCTCTCAAAACGTAAAGATCTGCCACCTAAATGAACTATATTATGTGTTTGTTACTTTAAGTCAAAACAGCAATCTGATGACATCCTCTCTGAGGGACCTTGATGGGTATTTTTCACTATTTTCTGAATGTTTTCAGACCAGCGTTAAAATAACATCTAGATGAATTCATAATGACTGTGTGCTTTAGCCAACTTTCAATAAACTGGCACAAACCAGCTGACACACAGTAAGCAGGGTAATTCCTCATATCCCCCATCTTAAAGTTAAAAAACTGTAACTGCAAATGGCACATAAGATAGACACTATACACATAACTCTGTAACTACCTACCTAACTGTGCTGCTCCTACCACCCAAACACAATCCAATGTGATGAACTCAGTTTGAGCTGATGGCCTTCAGTGTTAACTAACTTTCACCCTCGAAAACAGGGTTATGAAACCGGCGTGTTACTTACTTCTGAGTGCGGATACGAGCATGTTTCCGTCCTTGATGAGGTCTTTTATAAACCTGTTGGTGCGCTCCAGCTCTATCTCATGGCACTGGAGCCGCTCTCTGAACTCCGGACTGTCCACGAAGGAATCACTGAACTCCAGCGTCGGCAGACCCATCGCTAAATGAACACACACAGATAATTATTATTATTGGAGGAAGAAGTCGAGCAGGAGGACGCGTTGTCTGGTCCCTTTTAGGGGGATTTACGCGAGGGAGCAGTGTTTCGATGTGCCCGGAGGAACTGGGTTAGAAGTTTGCTCCAGCTCCTCTTTTTCATGCCTTTCTCCCCTTTTTTTTTCCCCCCCGGAGAACTTCCGGACACCGGGAACACAGCGGAGTCCCTGACAGAGCGAGCTGAGCTAGTTAGGCTACAGGACGAGCTTTACCGCCGCTTCTCTCGCCTGTTTTAAACCAATGCACTCAAATGTAACGTCGTCGACTTCTTACTGGCGCTTTTGGTGGATGCAGAAACCCCGTTAATCGCGGAAAAGAAAGCAGTACAGCTTAAAGTTTGGACGTCGCCAGAGACTGCGAGGCTAACTCTGCCTGCATACGGCTCTGAATGAAGGCTTGTTACTATGGGAACGGGAGACTCCTGCTGGCGCTGGCTGAGATCAGTGTTTTAGAAATGTCTTTGGATGGCAGCGAGAGAGCAAATAGGCAAACTGAGGCACTGAGAGAAGTTGAAGTGGCTGAGTATTAAAAGGAGTCTAAAAGGGTTGGAAAAAGTCCCGCATATATTTAAAGTGCTAAAGTTGAAAGAGAGGTCTGAAATGTTAGTTGAATGTTGAGTGATAAAAGAAGCAGGACCTGCCAGTGTCAGGTCATGGGTTGGTTTACAAACTGAATGCATATCTGTTCATTTAATAAGGTGTAAGCACTGAAAACTGACCTCTTGAAGTGTAAAAGCTTGAGTGTTAATGGGAGTTTGAATTATGACTCAACTCTTTTCTATAAGAAAACGTTTAATATTGTAAAAAGTATAAACAAAGTTTTGAGTAGACGCGCACGTCAACAAAACAAGCTGAAGTTTGAATGAAGTTTCATTTAGAAATTATAAGTTGGAGCATGTTGAACAAATGCCCAGGAGCAGAAAAAATAAAGCTATAAATAGGAGTTCAATAGTGTGCTTCCCTGAAGTGATAACAGTATAACATATTTTATTATTCTGAAGGAAACATGTAGCTATAATGCAAGTTTAGATTGTTTTTAAGTAGTTGTAACAGTGGTATTGTTGTTTTTTGCAGGGATCTTCTGTATGTTTGGGATTTAAGTTAAATCATGAATGATATTTTCTTTGAAGATAAGACATCTAATCTTTTATCTTATCATGAGCTGTCACTGTACACAGTAATTCAAAATAACTCTCACGTACTCTGCTGATGATATGCATACACAATCCTGAAAGTATGCGACTGATAATGTTAAAATACTCTCTTATCTGCTTCAGCCTGCAACAAACATAAACTATAGACTATACGTTTGCAGGAACATTCTGACCACAGAGTACCTTAAAATGCATCCAGTAAAATGGTATATGTACAAGTATACAAGTATACAAGTATATGTTCCCTACTGAAAACGTACAGGCCAAAACAGGCCCTCTAATAATTTATGCCACCTGAACACTGGGAGGCACAGTGCATTGCTGAGCGCTGGCCAAATGCTCCAGGGCAACCACTGAAAAAACAAGTTTTCTCTTTTTTGACAGTGTGGTGTGTGTGACTCAACACAACTGAAGTCAAATGTATTTGATCATCATTTTACTTGCTGCCGTACACCTTACTTGAGTCAGTTATGCAAAATACGGCCTCCTTTAGGAAAAGGCTCAACTCTGCACTTTAAGCTTTTTTGATTACTCATTCTGGACCATGTGCCTCTTTAAAAACCGTCTGTCCAAGCAGCCGCTGCAAAGTTTCAGCTCTCTGTTGGTGGTTCAGCTGCTTTATTGTCTCAGTTGGTAACTACTGTATCTGTCACTCACTGAAGGAGAATAGAACACCATGACTACTGAAGTAAACAAGCTTTAAGTAGCTCTGTGTATACCCTTATAACACACATCATACAGCACAGGGAAATGTAGACAGGAACACTGCAGAACTGTACCACAGCTTGTAAGGTAAGCAATAAAGTAAATAACTCTCCTTAGGGCTGCTTTAAGGCTTTATACTGGTTGTTATTTGAAATACATACACACTGTGATATTTTAAGGCTTGCAACAACTGTTTCCAGTTTCTACTGCTATTGAATACATTAAACCATGTGGTCATTTGTACAGTATTTGTTGTGCCAGACACCAAAGATTCAGAGCTGCTGGTGATGCCAGTGAGCCAACAGAGAAAATGTTCATCAAATATACCAACCTACGATACCCCAGTCGCCACCATGAATTATTTCTGCCTAGTCGACCCTACAAGGGAGAACCGCCGGCAGTGGCAGGTAAAGGTTTGCTGCTCCTCTCTCACAGCATCAGACAGAGTTATTGATGTTCCGACTCAACTTTAACCCAAATGTTTCTGTTTAATTGAGATTTTGTTGTTCAAATAAGGTTGAGGTCGGAAAAGTGCTCCGTGTTCTGCAGAATATCTTTAAAAAAGAATAAGAAAATAACGTCCAAAATGATCATTATTTCTGTAGTTTTGCTTTACACAGACAGAAATAAAACATTCTTGTCACAGATCATTTTGGTTTTAATGATTGAGCCTCATTGTCATTGCAGTTATTTTTACTGCGTTTAAAGTAAATGGGCCTAAATGAGCCATGACTGACACCACTAATTGTTATGATTTAAACAAGGATATATATTGGGGATTTTCCAGCTCAAAATAAAAATGCGTCATTGGACGGATTTCAGCAAATGTTAAGTGAAGTTAGTCCAGCTGTGATGTGCTCACTGGAATTACTCCAGTTGTTAAAAGGAAAATTTTCTCCATTTTAATCATACACAATACTTTGATTACATAGTATTTAAAGAACATATAATCCATCACTGTTAAAGCCCACTTTTTACTCTCTCTGTGTTGTCCCCAGGATTTCTCCTTTACCCGGATACTCCTGCTAAGATGGAGACAACATCACGAGAGGCTTTCTGTTTTAGACCCGTCGAACAGCGAGACAGGGACAAAGGTCTGCAGTCTTATCTCAACCTAGGGAGTAAACCCATCTTATCTGCTTTAAGATAAGCTGTGAGTTGTGTTTGTGTGAACATATGACTGTTTCAGTGAAAATAAGCACGCAAGGCTGTGTGTGTGTGTGTGTGTGTGTTTGGAAAATCTTTGGCAGAGATTAGAAAAGTGATTTATGAGTTTTTTCCTTCATTTAAAGGTCATACTGCAATATAATTACTTCACTATCATTAAACTGTAATAACAACAATACAGCAATTAATACTACAAATATAAAAGAGAACCATCTATATAAGGTTAAACATAAAAATTATGTTACTTGTATAACAAGAAGGAAAAACTAATTTGGATTTTACTAACCCAAATACATTTGTATTAATTGCTGAATATTGTCACAAAAGTATTGGCTGAACTAATGAGAGTGCTGCCTTGAGTCTTAATGTAAATATAAATATAATAATATAAATAATAAATCTAAACAGTAACAGTTAAAAATTGTGTTTTTACCAAAAGTATATATTTTTCAGATGCTGCCTCCATAGACAGACTGGGATGTTACTGTGTGTCAAATGAAACCCTTATTGAGGTTATGTGAACCCCTTCAGGAGTCCGCATCCTCCAGAAAACACAGCTGGAGTCCCGCAGTTCTTGTCCCACATCCTCGAGACAAACAGGACGAGGAACCAGCAGCAGGGACAGGGAACCGGGGGAGGACGAGCAAGAAGGCAACCGTGATCAGACGGGGTTGACAGCAGTGAAAACTGAACCAGATTCAGTAGAGATGCAGTCTCAGTATCAGAAGGACTTCCCTCCTCCGACCTCCTGCCGCAGGAGACGCACACCTGCTCTCCCACAGCCAGACAACATCGGCATCAACCCTGCCTTCAGGTGACAGCCAGTTTGTCAGTATGAGTCCACATACTGTAGCTTAATGTAGAGAGTGGCTCATCAGTGTCTGTGTGTTTTGGTTCACAGGATCGAGTTTAGCACGGTCCAAAGAGAGACTTTCCCTGGTTGGCCAATCATGAATCCCAGGTATGCTGGAAGGATGAGAGCAGCTTCATCCGGACAACCAAACATGATTTCTGAGTGATAATCTATAACACAAGAAATCAACTTCCATGTGTCTCTCTTGTGGTGTCACCCTTGTGGTGTCACCCAGCTCATCTTTGGTCATAAAGCATTTCTTTTCATTACAAATAAATAAATGTTAAAATTTGTCATAAAATATATATATCAAAGTTCTTCTTTTCATTACAAATAAATACTGACTACACCAAATGTTTTCCATTATATTCCATAATATGACAATAAATCCTAGCTTGTTATAATGAAACAATCCAGTGCACAGTAATGAAAATGATTTAATAAACCATTGAAAAACATGTCAGTTCTTTATGGGTTATGTGTGTCTTTCCTCTAAAAAGCCTGATAATATATGGCTTTTAATCTTACTCAATTCATTTGAGACATAATTAAGAGTGAAATAGACTAAATTGTAGTGAGATTTACATCAGAGGTGTTCAGTTCTCCTTCCCTAACCACACCCAGAACAGTGTGTCTAAAGTATCCTCATTCAATATCCACCCTTTAACTGCACACATTCATTTTGTGTTCAAGTGTTATCACATTCTTTGGTTACTTTTGTTTACTCTTTTACATCAGCCTTACTAAGGAATCGGTTCTTTTATGCACAAACTCTTTTCTCAGGTTTAACTTCTTCTTGGGTAACAAGTGATGAATTTCCCAGCAGCAGGTCACTGCGATGAGCTCATGGACTGATGGTAACACCAGACCATTGACGTTTCCTATTGATGACTTCAGACATACTTGTGGTCAGTTTGACAGAAAGCAATCCACCCAGTGACTCACAACATAAACACGATCTGCTTCAATGGACGAGGGATCAAACAGCTGAGCTGAGGCTTAGGCACAAGTCAGAGGGATGGATAACTTTTCAATTACACTATGTACGGACATTAAAAGATTAACTTCCTGTACATTTATGTGCTTGTCTGCAAATGATTTTAGGGATTTTGTACCGTGTTTATTGTAAACAGAGAATGAAAACCTATGTTTAATCACACGTGTTCTTTTACAACTCAGTCCTACCAAGAACAACGAAAAACAAGGTTTTGAGATACTACTTGATACTTGATGGCAACTATATAGAAATAATTACATTTAATGGCCCCTTCAACAGAACAAAATAGCAATAAAGAAAAATATCTGAAACTTTTGGACTAAAACAGAGGAAAGTAAAACCACTGTGTTAACATCAAGTTGTTTATTTGCTTTTCTTTCCCTGTGTATACAGTCAATGTTGCACCAAGTATGACACTCCAAAAATCTTCATCAGTAAAAACATAGAGAGAGAGAGAGACAGAGAGACAACATCGTTTAATTGTCCATTTTAGGAATTGTTACCAAGTAGTTCAGCCTCAGATTAAAAAAAAAAAGAAAGTTAATGGTCTCACTTATAAAGAAAGCAGAAATAAAAATAACTAATTGTATTTTTTCAGACTACAAAAGCAGTCAGATTTTTCCTGAGAAATACTGAAATTCTCCAGAGTACCAGCTGAAAGTTGCTGCTCCAGGTCCAACAAGTGTAACACGTCCTTTGGACCGGGTGAGAGCAGTACTCTGTAGTCCTACCCCGGGCTTCACCTCCGGTCCCGGTGCCTGCTCCTGTCTCGGTGTTTGCGGTCCTCCCTCTCTCTACCCCTGTCCCGCTCATCTCTCCTCCCTCTGCTGCCCCAGTCAGCCTCCCTGTGTCGGTCCCGGTCCTCCCTGTCTCTCACCCCTTGTCTCTCCCACTCCCTCCCCCCTCCTCCACCTCCACCTCCTCCTCCTCCTCCCTGCACAGGACCGACCCCGGGGTTAATAGGTTTCCGGAAAGGTCTGTCCCTGCCGCCGAACCGCAGCTGTCCGGACTCTTTCTTCCCCCCCTGCCCGCCGCCGAGCCGCCGGGGGACCCATCCTTTGAGGGTCCTCTCCTGTTCAAAATCCACAAACACTTCGTGCTGGTCCACCACAAGCTTGTTGGCGTCCCGTCGGGCCCGGACAACAGCCCGCTCCTCCTTGTACTCAATGAAGGCGTATCTCTTGGAGAAGCCGGTGACGATGTCCCGGACCAGCCGGAGCCGCTGGATGTCTCCGTACTTGGAGAACACTTGGTGCAGCCTGTCCTCTGTTGTCTGGGGGTTCAGACGGGACACAAACAAGGTGAGCAGTGGGTCTCCAATAACACCTTTGTTGGGCTTATAGCGGGCGACCATAGCCCTCCACACAGCCCGGTCATGGGGCTCCACGTCCGTGCCATCGATGCTGCCAGCTTTCAGCGGGTCGTACGCCTTCGCTATCGGACTCCACTCGACCATTTCCACGGTGCCCCTCCTTCACCTGCAGCGAGTTTCCCAGGCGGTTGTTTCGCTACACGGACCGACAATTAATCATCGATTAACTAGAGAAACCTCATCGATACCGATAAATGTTTTCACAGCGGCAAGTAGCCTGCCTGTCCTGTGTGAGTCAGCAAAAATAGTCCGTACTGAAACGAGTTCTAGTACGTTTTAATGGTTCCTACTTACCCGACGAGTCTTCAAATCTCAAATAGGAGACAACACACTATATTATAATTGTATGTAAATAAAGGCAGATGTACAGTTTTATATCATTTCTGTTTGTAAGTATGTATGATTGTCCTGTTGTTGTTTGTGTAT